GCACGCACGCACGCACACACACACACACTCTGTTAAGTCACACCGCGTCCACATTTACTGTGCAGTCAACTCTTACCCCTCACCCAACACATATATGCCCACACGCATGTACACACACACCCACAAAAACACACACTTAACTACACACACGTGCGCGCGCGTCCCCCCCCCTGCAGGTGTACCTCCACGCCATGGTGCGTGACGCCCACGGCCGCAAGATGTCCAAGAGCCTGGGCAACGTGATCGACCCTCTCCACGTCATAGAGGGCATCACCCTGGAAGGCCTGCACCAGACGCTCGCAGAGGGTGGGCTGCCCCCGCCCCCCTCCCTCCCCATTTTTCAGGCGCCTTGTACTTCCGCAGAGGCTGCGAGTGGATTGCCCCGCTCTCCGCCTCCTCCCCTCTTCGCCCCGCAAAACCCTGTCGCCGGGACGGGGGCAACGGGCGGACCCCCTGCTGCCTGCGCCGCGGCGCGGCGGGCTCCGACGCCGCTCAGCTGGCGGGTGGCGAGAGCCTTCTGGTGACGTCACCATGACGCTGCCGACGGGGCTCACCACCCCGTCCACCATGCAGCCTCCACGTGCGGTAATCAATGACGGTCACCACCACCATAAACCGCCACCCCCTTCAAAAACATCAAACCAGGAAACCTGGACCCGAAGGAGGTGATCAAGGCCAAGGCCGGCCAGAAGGCCGACTTCCCCGACGGCATAGAGGAGTGCGGCACAGACGCGCTGCGCTTCGCGCTCGTCGCGTACACCTCGCAGGCAAGGGCCCCGCCCGCCGCCGCAGCAGTAGGGCCGGCGCCCGCATCCTGCGCCCCTGCCCGCCGGCCGCAGGCGCCGCTGCCCCGCCGTCTGTCCGCATGGCCGCGCGCCGCCCCTGCGTCACTGACTGCGCATTGGCGTATGTGATTTGTACACACGTGCACACACACACACACACCAGGCGCGCGACATCAACCTGGACATCAAGCGCGTCGTTTCTTACCGCCACTGGTGCGCCACGCACGCGGGGCGCCCGGCCCCCCATCCACCCCCTCGCGGCCGTCCAGGGGGACCCACGCCGATGGCCCACACCCCTCCTCAGCAGGCCCCGCCTCATTCTCTCGAATCATGGATGTGCCGGTGGCCCCTGCCGCCCCGCCGCCGCGTCCGGCGGGCACGGCGCGTGTCGCCGCTGCCTTGCGCGGCCCCCGCTCAGTCTCCCTGCCTTTGGCCGCCGTCCCCCCCTCCACACATGAAACCCCTTCAAGGTGCAACAAGCTCTGGAACGCGCTGCGCTTCGCGCTGCTGTACCTGCCGGAGGGCTTCGCGCCGCAGCCCGCGGCGCAGCTGGACGTCTCTGCACTGCCCGCCGCCAGCCGCTGGGTGCTGAGCCGGCTCAACGGCACGGTCAAGGGCGTGGTGGCGGCCATGGAGGCGTACCAGTTCGCGGACGCAACGCAGAGGCTCTACGCATGGTGAGGGCGCGGCGCCGTGCGCGGGCCCGCGCGGCGGGGGCGCCGAGGGTGGGGAGGGGCGCGTCGTGTTGTTTGCTGCAAGGACGGGCACCCTCGGGCGGGACCGCGCGCGGCGCGCGCATGTGTCGTGCTGAGTGTCGCAATGCCCATCGTTAATATGGGGGCACCCGGCCGGCGGGATGTGCGCGCGCTGGGCACCACGGGCGACGGCAGCTTCGAGCAGCACGCACTCGCGAAAAGCTGCACCCTGAGGCTCACATTCGGATTCTGGAAAGCGGCGAGTGAACAGAGGAACATATTTATATAATAACAGGGGTCTTCGCTCGCGATGAATCCTTTCTCTCGCCAGGTGGCAGTACGACCTGTGTGACGTGTTCATCGAGCTCATGAAGCCCGTCATGGCCGCAGACCCCGAGGTATGACGTCACGTGACGTCACACGGGGCCGCCGGGGGGGGGGGGGGGGGGGGCGCGATCCGGGGCGCGACGGGGCCGGGGCCGAGCAGGGGCCGTGCGGCTCGCGCCCCCGCGCTGCAGCAAGCATGCGCAGCTGCTGCAGGTGCCACCGAGCCGGATTCTACTACATACGGCGCATCAGTGGCCGCTCTGGCGTCACCGCGTTGCCCCACCTGACCCCTGAACTCACTACCCCCCTCCAGGGCAAGGATCCGGCGGCGGCGGCGGCCAAGGAGGGGACGTGCCAGGCGCTGGCTGTGGCGCTGGACAGCGGGCTGCGGCTGCTGCACCCCTTCATGCCGTTTGTGACGGAGGAGCTGTGGCAGCGGCTGCCGCGGCCGGGGGAGCAGCCGCCCAGCATCATGGTGTGGGGCCATGGGGCCCCAGAGGGGGGATGGGTTGTCACGCGGACCTTTTCAGGGTGATCCGGACAGTATCAGGGAGGTTTCATGTGAATGTCGTGTCTCCACTAATAACCGGCTCGGACGGCGGCGCTTTGGCAATGAGGGATGGCCGCGACCCGTCTCGGCCCCAGCCGCGCGCCGCGCGTTCTCCCAGGGGCGGCCAGGCATCCCACGCGCCGCCTGCCGCGTGCCTTGGCCCGCGCTCCGTCACGCCTCTGTGCGCGGCTGCAGATGCTGCGGCCCCCCCCAACCCCCACCCAGTTGCCGCCGGATCCTGCCCCGCGCTCGCCTGCCAGCCCTCCACATCCGATCCCCTCAAGCTCCCCGCGCAACGCCCGCCCCTTTGCCTCTGTCTCCTATCCAGGTGGCGGAGTACCCTCAGCCGCGTGAGGGCTGGGACGACCCCGAGCTGGAGAGGGCGTTCGCAGACATGCAGGTGCTGATGGCGCGCAAGCGCACGCGGAGCTCGGCCCGCGCGGCGCTGGGCCCGTGCAGCCACGCCCCGGCGGACGCGCGCCTGCCGCCGCGCGCCGGGGGCTGATGGCGCCGCCCGGGCCGCCTTCTTGGTAATCAAGCAACCGCATGAGAGGCGTCTGAGCCGATGCTCATCTGCTGCCTCGAGCCAAGATTGCACCCCCTTGCAGGCGGCACCAGCACTCGGGCCCAAACAAAGCCACTGGGCAGCCGGCCCCCCCCCAGCCGACCCGCCCGAGCGCTGCGCCAACCCCCACAAC